TCTGGTGGCCCACGCTCCATCGTGATGTTAGAGAGTATGTGTTGGCCTGTCCCACATGTGCTCGTAACAAGGCTTCGCATCAACCTCCTTCTGGTCTCCTTCAACCTCTACCTGTTCCCTCGCGCCCATGGTCCCACATAGCCATTGATTTCGTCACCGGTCTCCCTGTCTCCCGAGGTATGTCCACCATACTAACCATTGTCGACCGTTTCTCTAAGTCTTGCCATCTAGTCCCCCTGAGAAAACTTCCCACGGCCTTCCAGACAGCCCAGCTTCTTATCAAACATGTGTTCCGGCTTCATGGCATCCCCCAGGAAATTCTATCGGACAGAGGTCCCCAATTCATATCCCAGGTATGGAAGGCTTTTTGTTCTGCGCTCGGATGCAAACCATCTCTCACCTCAGGTTACCATCCCCAAACGAATGGCCAGACCGAGCGTATGAACCAGCATCTGGAATCCACTCTCCGCTGTCTAACGTCCAATAACCCGGTGGATTGGAGCCTATACCTTCCCTGGATAGAGTATGCCCACAACTCTCTCCGTTCCGCATCCACTGGACAGTCGCCCTTCCAGGTCAGTCTTGGATATCAACCACCTCTTTTCCCCGCAGATGAGAGAGAGATATCGGTGCTGTCCGTTAATCATCACATCCGCCGCTGTCGAAGGATTTGGAGGGAGACCATTGCCACACTCAACCAGTCAGCTGAATCAACCAAGCGTTTCGCTGACGCCAAGAGACGCCCCGCCCCTGAGTATTCTGTGGGCCAGGAAGTGTGGCTTTCCACTCGAGACATCCCCCTCAAGGGGATGTCTCGAAAACTTTCCCCGAGATTCATAGGCCCATTCAAAATCTCCCGTGTCATCAACCCGTCAGCTGTCCGTCTCCAACTTCCTCCTTCCCTCCGAATCCATCCGACCTTCCATGTCTCCCAGATCAAGCCTGTTTCCTCGAGCCCCTTGTGCCCGCCATCCGACTCCCCACCACCCGCCCTGGAAGTCGATGGCCATCCAGCCTTCACGGTCCGCCGTATTGTAGACTCCCGTCGACGAGGTCGCGGTTGGCAGTACCTCGTCGACTGGGAGGGCTACGGACCAGAAGATCGACAGTGGGTCCCAGGCTCGCACATCCTCGATCCTGCCCTGATCGAGGAGTACGAGCGTTCCCGTCCTTCCACTTCCTCCGGACCGCCAAGGGGCGGTCGTTGAGGGGGGGGGTACTGTTGGGAGCTGGAGAAAATACCATTTTTCTCCAGCAGAGTCCGCCGTGGATCCTCTGAGGGAGCCTCCTGCACAGGTGCAGCTCATCAAGACCATCAGAGGATCCACTACTTAAGCTGCCTTCAGACCTTACCTCAACGCCGCAGTGTTGTTCCAGTTGGTCAGCGCTAAAGCCTTGATCTCAGTGATTTTTCCATGTCCTAAATTCCGAGTCAGATCCTAACGTTTGTCTCTGTGCCTCTAGGTGACTCGTGCTTCCTCCGTGAAAGCTCTGGAAGAGCTAACCTGCCGAGCCGACCCTCCGAGCCAAACCCTGAAGACTCTCAGTCAACCTCCAAGCAGCTCTGGGCAAGAGCTAGGAAACCCAAGCCAAGGTCTGTCCTAATAAGACGTGAGACGCTGAAGCAGCTAACGGACTCTGCTAACACATCCTTCTCCAGAACCAACAGTGACTCTCCCAAGGAGAACCTCAAGAACCCTCAAGACTCCGGTGAAACCAGATTCCAGGCCCAAACCAGTCATCTGCATATTCTGTGCTTGTGCCAATAAACTTGTTAAACTTTTCATCCTGTGTCCGTCAGTGGTGTTCTGCATCTTTGGGTCTCCATTAGAGAACCGATCATGACAATATATCATGCATTCAATCATTTATTTCCACTCTGTGATAAATGTTATACCTGCACGATATACCGTACCAGTGATAAATACATGTGTGCTTCTAAAGCTTTATACTGTAGTTCAGCAACAGAAAGCTAAGAGAGTACATATAATGAGATGTCTCAATATATAACATCAGCAGATGAGAAAGAACTGTGGAAATATTGAAAGCCTGACTGTTAAATACTAGCTATCATGATTTGAAAAATTATAATTTATTCTATTTCCTTCTTAGAAAGCTTTTTACTTTCTCTCTGAAATACATGAGAGATTTTCATAACCACCATTAACTATGCAACCAGGTATCAACAGTCAGAAGATAAATGCCACCAGCTTAAGATAAGTGCCATCTACTGTTCAAACAGCATCAGAAGGGTGAATATATTTTAGATTATACAGGTTATTTAACCTCATTCATGCATTAAAAGTATTGTGGAGGATCTTTGCGATCTTTTTGCGCATGCACAACCCTGTACCCTCTCCTTAGAGGGAACGCCTATTAAACCCGTCCAGGAGCCCATTTCTCATTGTACACGGGCTGTTTAAAAGTTGCTGTTTGCATCACTCATACGAAAAAGATTTGCAATTTTTCCACTATGTCAGACTCACCACTGGTAAGTGAAAATGAGGATGAGCACGTAGGATTGCCTTATGTAAACACATCACCAGAATGATTGACAACTAGGAGGACCACTTGATGATCAACCCAGAAAAACAACATCTTCCACTAAACCTTTAAATAATATAAAATACTTATTTATTTCTTTTCCCTTTGCATAAGATTTCAGTTTTAAATGTAATAAAATGTTTTGATTGATCCATGTCCTATGGATATGATTTAGTTAAAATAAAATATTGGATACAGGTACCCATTTTATGTTTCAAAATACAGAAGATGTTATATTAGAAACCCCTCAGTAGCATGTTTGATTATTTTTTTATTTTCTTAGTTCAACAAGGGTTATTTTCATGTTTAAGTGAAGTCTCTCGCAAATTGCATTTTTTGTTTTGTTTTTTAGTTCTTGGAGCCTAACCAAAAAAAACAAAACAACAACCATCCAATAAAGCACCAACACGGTTCTATTAATAATTTGTTGATGGAGATTTTCTTTTTGAATCTGTAATGCACTGATTCATTGTTTAACTCCATTACTCAGGCTGGAATAGGATTAAGAAACCTGTCTAATGTCATCCGGTCAACCAAAAGCGAAAAACAGCCAAAAGCAACAGAAAGCCAGAGACAGAAGAGATTAGCGTCACCTGCACTGGCTCTAAACCAAACCACCCAGCACCAAGAAAGGAAGCAGTAGTGTCTTTGCAAGACATGCTACTGGAACATCATGTGAGGGCTTAGGAGGTCAACTTAGATTTGTTTTCTCCTGGCGATGAGGTCACACACGCATCATTGAATCGTTGCAGTTTCTCTGTTATATTTTCACCCAATATGCACCTGAAATGTTTCACTTCATGATAGCATCATTTTTTGTTAAGAGAACTATTCCTTTTTACCAAGGTTCTTAATTAGGGCAAGGAAATGAAGCAATGTGAACAACCTGACCAATATCATATGTTAGAATGAGCTATAATGCATTTAATTCCAATTAGGAACTGCACAGCATTCTGGGGGATGTAGGCAGAGGAGATAATTTGGTCTCATAACTTCTCATGGCCAAGCTAGGAATGGCTGTTAGTAGGGCTGATATCTGTGCAAGGTTTAAATGTAACATTTAGGGTTTTGGTTATAATTGAAGTTTTGCAGTTGTTCCATTGGTCCTTATTTCAGATAGATAATGATAGAAATAAAATCCACAACACATCAATATCGATAATATGAAAGATTTTTTTAGCCATATCACACAGGCTTATGGTTAATGAAATTCATGTTAACTTATATCAGGGTAACTTTTTGATTAAATACTCAATTCTTCCCATAATGCTCTGCCATGTTTTGAGCTCTGTTGGGCTTAAAAGAAATCAAAAAAAGAAGAAAAGTGTTTTTTTTTTTTTTTTGAGAGACTTCAAGACACATAAATTATTTCTGCTTTTTTGAGGATGTTTTTTTTTGGGTTCTATAGGGTACTTTCTCTGCTATCTGGAGGCTTGGGTCACTTTTAGAAACAAGTGCAGTCTGCAGGGTATTGTAAAAATATGCAGTGAAAATGCAAGCTTATCTCTAAATAAACTTTGTGACCTCTAAATCACCAGATATCTAAAGAAGGCTAAAATCATCCTGGCTGCCTGCTGCCATTCTTAATGTGGAGAATTTTCCCTGCTAGCCTCAGGTAGGGGGTACAGGACGCCCCGCTGTAGAACAAACAGACAAAAACAATCTATTGCTTCTGCTGCTGTCAGTTTGGTGAACTCTACAGTGTGAAGAAAAAAAAGTTTTCTTTTTTGATTGTTGTTGTGAGCTTGTTTTAATGCCGTCGGCTCAACAAATGGCCTTTGGAAGATAGTAAAGTTTACTTTTGACCTTTGATCAAAATTGAGGAGAGCAGGTCTAATTTAACGGCTTAAGGTGAGGCAGGAAGAGACTTTTCTTTCCATCTTCCACTCTGTCAGTCTCTCTTCTCTTGCAGAGCGGCACACAGGTTTCTGCCACAGAGAAGCAGATTTTCCGGGCCTCAAAACGGAGCAGGATCTGTTTGATGAGCCTATTTGTATTCTGCAGCCATGCTGCTTCTGCTGACCTGGGAATGAGAGATACTGGAAGGCAGCAGTGTTATCTGACCAACAGGCCACCCTTGGTCCTTGCCTCCTTCCACTTCTTTCTTGCCCACCGACCAAATGCCTCTTGGTGCCTTTAAATCCCTGTGTTTGCATTGGGCTGGTCAGATGTTGCTCAGTTAATGCCTATTGTTTGACAAAGGATTCTGGCTCAGAGGGCTCCCACCCCCATGGAGTAAGGTATGATAGTGTGAAAGGACCGATGCATTTTGAGTCACACTTTGCAAAATGAGCATAATATGACTGCTTGCCTCCTAGGCAGTCAGTTTTTTTTACTCAAACGTGGTTAAGTGACCTTTGAAATAAAAAAAAGCAGATGGTGTCCAGTGTTTCAGAAGCTGTACGGACCTTTCATCTTTTTGCTACAGGACAAATGATAAATGACGCTGGCTGTACCTGAGGGAAAGTGCTCGTTGACCGGCCAGTTGTCCACTTGCAAGGTCGCATTGCCCCCGTTCCTTGTGAATCGGACCAAATGGTACTTGCCATCGTTTACCTCTGTGTTTGGCTCCTTAACGCTTATGTCCACCGTCCCAATGTTGAACGTCACTCCGATTTTGCCTTGCTCCTGGAGGAGACAGAGAAGAAAGAGTTGAAACCAAGCCTCAAACAGGGTTGCTAATTTACTTTTTATCTTTGATAACAAGTGCTCCTTCAGTAAAATCTAAGTTTTCCAGGTACCACACCAAAAGAAATTTGAAATTTTTCCCTTTTTTATGTTCTGTGTAAGAATAAAAAATAAAAAATCATAGCTCCTATTCAGGGGAAGTGCTTGTTTGAAGGACATGGTTTTGATTAGCATTCCTTTTGCACACAGGAATCAGACTTGGCAAATTCCAAGTTAGAAAATTAAACAGAATGGTGCAACTGAAGTTCATGTTTCAAGATTGAAGCCCATTCCCAAAATCCAATTTTGCATCCATGTGACTGAAACTGTTTCAATCAATATGCAAAAAGCACCAACAGTGGGTTGTTTGGGATCCTAACTCCAAGTTTAGGGGTTAATAAGGACCACAAGGACAGCAGTTGGGAGTTCTGCAAACATTTCTCCCCATGCTTCCCTTTTGGTAGTTATTTATGATCAGCATGCTTAAAAATCTTATTTTACTTTCCTTTAAATTTACCTTTTGTTGAACCCCAAATGTACTCTAAGTACCGTTGAAGAAATATAAGTACTTGAGAACCTTGTCTGTAATAAAGCCCTCTATAGCATATATGGAGCTGCAGCCACTGTTTTAATCTGTCAGTAATTTATTTAAGGACCTATGTGTCTATATGAGTGTTCTTATATAGGATTAGTAAAGTTAAAATAAAACTATAGACTTACTGACCATAAGTTTGGTAGAACAGCACAGTATACGGAATATCACAATCACAATATTAAAATAGCAAAGGCCTGCTCTGGGGTGCAATACTTGTTTGGTTAATATATTTCGAGAGCTGCACACTTGGGATATGCATACTATTTAGAAAACGGGCCAGTTTAAAGCGCTTAGACATTTAAAGTGTCACAAACTTAACTTATATGAATCCCAAAGCTCACAGAGAGTAATAGGGATGTCAAGATGATGGAAAACATATCAAAGTCACAACTCCTAATATCATAAAGGCATAAGGAAAACATAGGACAACATAGGATTGTACAACAATATCACATTAGGTACAAAATGGATTTGATGCTCCAAAGATACTAAACATCAATATCTTGGAAATATGGAAAATAAAATAAACTGTTCTGGCACTGGTGCTTGCGATGGGGTCGGGTGAGTGTTGCTTTTTTATTTAGGTGATCCATCTGAGAAAAGAAATGTATCCACGGCTTCCTAGCAAAACAACTCTCCATTTTTATGTCAAGTCTAACAAAGGCTTATGTAAAACGATATTTCATATAAGCTGTTATTATATATGTGTATATATATATATATATATATATATATATATATATCTATATATATATATATAGATATATATATATATATATATATATATATATATATATATATATATATATATATATATATGTTTCTTTTACCACAATAAAATGAGTTCTTTTATTTTGAAAACCAAAAGGTGGTGGGGAATAAAACATTGTTTTTCTGTATACCACTGTAGCATGTAGCTGTTTAAGAAAAGTCTCTCTCATATTATATATTTATATCAGAGTTACAGAGAATGAATTCATTTAAAATGTGTTTCTCTAAATAATAATAAGAATTTGATAATTTCCTTGGGAACTTAGAACCCAAAGGCAGGACCAATAGAATCCAGGCTACTTGAAGCATTAAAAGAGCAACTATGTGAGTCTATAACACAGAGCCAACACCACTTTCTATAACCAATTAACTTGTAAATGTCTTTAAAATTATTGAAAGGTACCTCTTAAAAAAGACCAACATTACATGGACCACAACTGTCCATTTTCAATTTAGAGAACATCTGAACTGCATCTCGGTCATGTTTTCCACTACATGTGTTGTCGTGCAGTGATGAATTAATTACACGGTAAACTAACTGTAAAAGGTTCAATAAAGTGACTTGGCTGATTGCTCGCGGCTGGTGCTAATGTTGAACTGCACGGAGAACCTGAGGACGCTTCATTATACAAGTGTAATGTGATGAAAATAAGCTGCCAGCAGAGATTGTAATGATGAGTAATACTCCCTGCAGCCTGTCACTATATGAAACTGGCAGGGCAGATGCCTCGTTCAGCCGCCGTCCTTAAAAAACGTATGAACACCATATGTTTTGCTTAACTCTCAATGCTAAAGCAGTTGTATCATGTCCATAAATCGTCTTGGCTTTTCCTTTAATTTTCTGACTTCATTCCCGTTCAACCCTAATTTTCACTAGTATGCAAGCATCTTTTACTGCGACGGCTTCTGTATTCATGGAAGAGTAGGCGTTTAGAAGCAAGAGGCTTCAGAGCCTGAGTGAGTGGCAACAGGGAAGAGCTGTGTTTTCCGTGTCATTTGTATTAATCCCCCATAGGGAGTCTCTCTGTGTAATTACTTTCTTTAGAAGCCGACAGCAGTGGGACCATTCCTCATAACAAATCCAAAATGAGGGGGCTTTGAGCGCAGGAGCAGACACATGTTGCTAATTGATCAGCTAAAGCTCTGACCCAACATGGCTGACTGTTAAAAGTCCGGACCCTGATTATGTTGAGCAGAACCTGACAGTGTTTGCCAGAATGACAGTACAACACGACAGCTCCGGCTTTCAGTGGATGACACATCGCTTAAACCTGCTGACCTCGATTAAATGTCACAATCTCCTCATACCTCAGAAGAGCGCTTCATCAGGCCAACAGTTCCTCAACGCAGATTGCATCAGCACAAATAATCAGATTAGATGAAGACACAAAGACCTGAAAAGGGAGGCATGTAGTCTTTGTTTATACTTTGTAGATGCATCTCTCACTGCATCAAGACTTTATAGGCATTTCTCTACTTTGAAGTCTTGCTATAGACTCCAAAAAGCATTAAGGTCTGGACTTTGACTAGACCATTCAAGTATATTTAATATTTTGCAAAGCAGTGGTCTCAATCTCCAGTCCTAAAGGACCATTGTACTGCAACATTTAAATTTGCTGCTATGGAGGGCCACCTATGAGATAATAAAATAAATACAGAAATAAATGCTCGATGAATAATAGGCATACAATAAAATGGACCGAAAATTCAGAAAATAAATAAATAAATGCCGGGAGTAATTAAATTATACAGCAAAAGATAAATGTATTCATATTTTTAATTAACTACTTTTTTATTTACCGTTGTAATAATTCCTAATTTTAACTATGATGAATGCAGTCCAACCAAACAACAGCCAGATGTTGTCCACTTAAGACCGCCTCTTGCTTTTTTAAATAATGAGAAAGAATTGCATACAAAAATAGAAAAAGTGAATAAAATCAGAGCAATAAAAATAAATTAGGAAAGGTTTACAAAGCTGGATTTCAAAAGACCAACTGCACTTATTGAATTGCAAGAGTGAGCTAACAATGCATTGGATTTATTGTAAATGTAAAATTCCTTAAATTACATTGGTATTTGGGAGTCCAATGTGAGCAAAGTAAAAAAAAAAAAAAAGAAAAAAATCAGATGGCACTGTAAATATTAATTAATAGTTAAAATAAACATAAGCATTATAGTTGATGTAAGAACAATAACTCCTTAAAAAAAAAATGAAACTCACCTTTTAATGTGGAGTACATATGTTTTACTTCTTAGCAAATCTGTTTTGGGATTATGAAGACAAACATATTTTTCTCTCTTGAATTAAGGTACGATGTAACATTTTCCCTAAGACGTTAAAAAACAGAAAGTTTCATGATAAAACTCTGCTTTGCTCTGCATACAGCTAATTTCCCAACAAGGCCTCTTATAAAATAACTTTGTTGTTACAGTTAAGACATCCTTCCCTTTTAACAAAGAAGACATGCAGAATAAGCTTCAGTCGGACCGGGTTGAGAGGTGCAACAGAGCATCTTTCCTCGGCGCAGTTAATAATGGAAAAGTGCCGACAAAGACATGAGAAAGCCATTTCCTAAAAGCTGAGGTTGCGCTTAGAGAAAAAGTCAGACAAGCTGATTGCTCCACTGTGCACTTCCCTTCTCTGTCACAGAGGCTGTAAATGGGCTCCTAATGTAAATGCTTGTCATTAAAACTTAGTGGGATGCGCGATTAGATGTGAGGAACGTGTGGGCGCAGGCGTTTGGACATGCATATGGCAAAACACACATAATCAATGAATCGCAGACAAGATGATAACAATCTGTTGATGAATTCATGTGACAGGAGCATTTCCTATACTTTGTTCCGTGGAAGATATTATTAAATCGTCTGGGCCTGACTGGAAAAAAAAAAGAAAAGAGAACACATTAGATGGGTGATGTAAAAGCAGAAGCAGTGTCTAGTATATCCGCTATGACCTTCAGAGGATCTGGCAGCCATCGCTCTCTTGTGTAGCTGCATCAAAGCCGACCCACTTAATACCTACAAACAAAGGCAGATTGTCACCCAGCCTCCCCTGGCTTTGTTGCAAACAAACAGAAAAACATGACAACTGTAACCCCTTGTAACTGTTGCTGCAAGCTTCCAGACAAGAATCGGGTAATATATGGCCCACAGGTCAAACCCGCCGCACTCTAAATTCCCTCAACTGGTCCAAATGAAAACTGTGGATCAAACATGGACAAATTATAAATGTTGTGCTAGAATTCAAATATGCATCCCTTTTAAAAAGAAAAAAAGCAACAAAAGAAAACAAAATGAAAAGCTTACAGTCTTTTATCCTAATAGGTTCATATAATCCGGCAGGAGAGAGGCATTGGAATCAGCATCTGTTAACAGGGAATGAAGCTGGTTACTCTTCAAAACTTTGAAACAATGACAGAATGAGGAGTTTTTAGCTAAGATGTTGAGCCATCTGTTTGTGTGTTGGAGGATGGTAGGACTATAGGTCTTAAGAAATACAACATGGCTAATCTTCAAGTGTTCTTTTTTGCAAAAAAAAAATATTATTTTTGTTATTGAGTATAATTATTTAAATGCTATAGCTATGTGT